TCTTAACTCTGACAAACGTGTGTGTGACACATTTGTACACACATCTACCTCAGTCGGGACACTCATTGGCATCCAATTAAAACTAGATGCCTAACCCTAACCTAAAGCTGATTCTAACCCTAAAACCAAGTGTTATCCCTGAAACAGCCGTGTTAAAAGTGGGTCAGAAAGTGAGGAAAGGCCCAAATGTCCTCACTCTGTAAGTGGCAGGCTCAACATGGTCCTCACGAAGATATCTGTACAAGTACACACACACAGTGTTCTCCTTTCTCGCAGCAGTGGCTCAGTGACTCATCCAACAGAACAACTCTATGTGTTAAAAAAGAAAGAATCATCTAAGAGCCTGAGTTATCATTTCACCTGATGTGTTACAGGAATTGTGAGTTCTCTGTGACGCTCACTGAACCACCCGGATTTCTTACGTAGATCTGTGTGTGGGATTCGACCGTCTCTGATGCTGAGCTGAACTGCTGCATGGAGATGTTTCCATATGAAAGTTATATCATTTCTATACTTCCAACCCTCACTGCTCAAGTTCAAGAATTTTTTCCAGCGAGGTTTGTTTGTTATATAACATGTTGGCTGCTACACCAGCTTCATATTAAATTAAATGTGTTATTTATCATCATCATTATTTACCATGTAAATACTTTGTTTCAATGCAAGTTCTGACAAAGTAATTTGTCAGCAATAAGTAATAAGGAAAGTAATATTCTTGGTTTTTCCTTCTGTCAAAAATAAATCCTAAGGCAAGACAAAAACTTAATATATGTTACAACATCTAGTACTTCTACTACGTAGCACAGCACTTTCTGCTTATACAGCTGCAGGATACAAAACTGGTGGCTGAGAGAATGTCACTAATCCCTTGCTTTAAAATAAGCCCTATTAAAATATGAACAAATTAAACATCCAAATTGATCATGATTATCTTTACAACACAGCAAGTCTAATATGTTTTAAGTACAGTAATCACTTAATATCTAATTAAATTATATCATAGCTCCATCACTGTCCAAGTCTCTTGCAAAAAAAACCCACATTTAATGCAATGGCCTCTTTTCACAAATTCCAGAAATATGTATCTGGATTATAGATATACATATATATTTTATTGAAAGAAAACAAGCACATCTCCTGTAAAGCGGCTCCTGTTCCTGCTGCTGCCCCTTTCCCTTGGTTCAGCTACCAGTTGATGAGGACGAGCGGTGCTTCATCTCCGCAGAATCCCTGTCTGGGATAATGGAGCCGCTGTCGCCTGACCCTTCTCTTGGCCCTGCATATAAATATTTGTCATTCCCGACGAGCTGAAGTGCACCGCTTCCCCTCCTTTGGAAAACAAACCTATTATTATAATCGTTTTTTTTTTCCATGGTGGTGAGGGGAGCATTGTGTGGCTTGTTTGGCGAGTAAATCAAGATGGGTTCATCCTTCTGTAATCCTGTTATATAACTGTGGAAATTATGGTTTAAAATTGCCACATTGGGACTGATATGAGGAGAATGTGATGTGTTGTTGGACATTTTTATCCCCAAGATTGATTTCGTTGTTTGTTTATGAGTTTATGAGTCTCTCGAGAGCCATCAGGACATATATCACAGATCTGTCATCAGAAACAAAAAGAGATGCTACAGGTTAATTGGATAAAACATGGAAGAAAATTATGCCAATTATGAACAGAGGGCTCTTTCCATGTCCTCTTCAGCCGAGCATTGGTCTGGCAATCAAGCTCTTTGTGGCTAATTTGATTCACTTATTTTTAGTCCCATTGTTATTTGAGTTATTCATCTTGAACAAGAGATATCTTCAGAACTGGAGTGAGTTTTAAGAGCTTGTGTTTTTTCAGAAGTGGAACAGAAAATGAATCTGAGTTCAGTAGTATTTTATTTGCAATGAACATATAGGAGAAATTAATTTCTTTAATCACTTAGAGTTAAACTAAAACTTGTGGCTCATCCATTTTCAGAAGTCATGAAGATCAACATGGAGCCATTTTGCCCACTTAGCAGAACAGGCTCCACATTAATGATGAGCACACAGTGGAGCACAGTGCAGTTATTTATTTTAGTCTGCATTCACAGCTAATTACGTCTTGATCCTCTTTCCGAATGGAGGAAGATTTATTTGCTGGAGAGTTTTGAACTTGCGAGCTACCTCATGCTGTAACCAGCAGATTCTGCTACTTTTCATTGTTAGGCCACCTCCTCCGCTGACAAATGATCCACTCACTGTGCAAATTCTATGCAGTACATATAGCGTGTGTCTGTGTAAGTATGTGCGTTTGTGCCATATACGCAGTTTTCGGGGAACAAACTGTCCTGTGTGTTGGGAGAGAATGTGTTGCTAGTTTTTTGCAATGTAAAGTGAACTTGAAATGCAAAACTTATATTAAATACATATAGATATAACATAAATATATTTTTCTATATATTTCTCCTGGTGATTGTTTCATAATTTTTATGTATTATTTTCTTTAATGTCGTCAGTTTTTAAATATTTATTTTTTTAAAATCTTTTTGAATGTGGCAGCTTTATGTTCAGCCTTCAGTTGTCAGCTGATTTAATCTGCCTCAGCTTTTAATGAGACATTTTTTGTGACCTGAACAAAACAAAATATTGATTTTCTTCAGTAAACAGCCTCTCCCCTCACGGTTTTATATTTGATTGGACAGAACTGAAGTTGTGGCTTTTAAATGAGTCAGTCCCGTGTGGCCAGCTCTCACTTACAGTTGAAACCTGATACCTGGCCTGGGGATATTAATGATGTTGGCTGCTGCTACTCAATGAGAAACGATTGTTTTAAGTGTCCACACAACCATAATTTATATATATATATATATATATATATACACTATACTTACACATCTCAGATGAGCTGTTATTTCCCAGAAACTGCAGACAGTACCCAGAGAGCCAACAGGGAAATTTGATATTTCAGTGGAAACCTTTTACTGTGTGTTGACTCAGAGCAGAGGTGGCTGTTGTAGCCACTGACCTGTCCAGAGTTTAGATTCATTGGGTTCAGCACTTCGGGCTGCCCCCTTAACCCCACCTTAAGCCGCTCAGAAGTGTATGTGTGGGGGTGTGTGTGTTTTGGTGGGTAGGGGGCTTAGGGTCGTTAGACAGTATTAATTGGTGGACATTTACCTCCACTACACATCATTGATTTCAGTAATGCTCATTTCTCATCTGTGTGCTTTGGATCAACATTTTATAATGTGGCATTAATGGCTTTTTACTTTAGAGAGCGTGGGTTTTATTTGCATAGAGGGCTCATATGGATCACGTTGTTGGACTGGAGATTATATTCTGTCTTTGGTCATTGGGTTCAGCGAGATGTGGAACGTGGTTTGCCTGAGCACGGTGTTAGTTGAGCTCGGTGGGCTCTTGCTGAGGGTTTGGTGGAAGGGCAGGCAAACTAACCAGCAGTGACCTGAGGCAGGCACAGACACTGAGTGTGGGAGGGAAGACAGAGCACTGAGACAGAGAAGTAGAACTGGAGCCAATACTGAGTCGATACAACCGTCTGCCAGCTTGGGACCTGCAGAGGGAAACCACGCCCATGCCCAGACCTGCCAAACCAATCACACACACACTCACACATACCAAGAATGCCAAACCAATCAGTGATTTATTCATTTAAACACATTCACTCAGTGGCAGCCAAGGTGCTGACCATGACACCCTGAAAATCCAGCCAGTAAGAAACTTGGGTATTAGCACCAGGAGATAAGTACATATATTACATACATGAAAAATACAAAACAAAAAACTCAGTGAAGTCAAACCTCTATAAAGCCTCTTTCAGTTAGCCAGCAACCTGAAAAGTCAACAGGTGCAGCTTGTGTAGTTCATATTCAACATATTACCTACGTTTCTATCACAGAACAATTTTCTCATAATAAACATCTTTACTTACTGACATGTCTACTCCAAGTACTCAAACAAATAGGAGGATACAAAATGGAGAATTGGCAGTGAAACATAAGAAAAATACTCAGTGAATAGAATATTAACAAGGGGGCAACAATGGAGCAACAGAAATGATGACGTTAGCTCTGGATGCGCACCGGCACTTGTCAAAAACAGTATTTTTCCATTTAATATTAAAACGTTGTGGTTCAGGTATGATATGATATAACTGACTCTTTATTAAAACTGGTGGCAAATTTATCAATTCAAGTTCTTGGTATTCTTTCAGTTCAGACATGTGTAGACTAAAGCAGGGTTCTCATTTTTAGTTAGCGACGTTTGATTCTGTCATATGAAATGAGTGCACTGCTGGCTACACTCTCTGATGTAAAATTAAGAAATAGTAGGGGACAAGACAATGAGGGATTGTAATGAGAGGACAAGGGTGCCACAGCCAGATAAATAATTTGTCATTGATCGTCCCAACAAGCAGTTTAGATTTATGACCAACCACTTCCATAATTTTGTTCTAATTAATCACGTCACTTCTTGTGGAGATGACAAAGACGATTTACGTTTTGTTAAAAAAATCAGCTCAAGATTTATTCTGCACACACGACTTTCTGGATCTCACATGGTATTGACCTCAACATACATCTTCTGCGAGATGCCAAGGTTTCTGCACAGCTTCTTTTTGTAAAGTGATTTGTTCCCTTCATTGTTGTATCAATAAAAAGAAAGCAAAGAGAGTTAATGTTATCCTTTTAGCAAATCAATGTGGAGGCAGGAAACAGGTGAATGCATGATGTTATTTGGAAGTTTTCCACGAATGCAACTTGAAGTTCTGACCTAAGGTGTCTTCTCTGTGAGTTGGTTGGTTGACAAAACATTATTTCCTCGTGTCAGTTATTGACACTTTTTGTAAGTTTAGTGAAAAGGTTTTGTATTATGCTCATTGTGCACTAAAATCCTCATCTATATCCAAATTGGTCTCTAGGTCACATCCTGATTTGGGTACACCCAGAACAGATATTTAATCTAACCCAAATCTTTCTTTGTTAATAAGCTCCTAATGTTTCCTCCCACAGCACCCGGATTCAATCTCTCCAGGTCGACTCTGTGCAGCGATGGATGGAGGACCTCCGCCACATGACGGAGGTGGAGTGCATGTGTGTCCTCCAGGCCAAACCCATCGGGGTGGAGGAGGACTCCCAGCAAGGAGAGCTGATCGTGGGTTCCGGGGTGGGTGCAGGGGACCATGTTGCAAGGAACAACCTGCAGATACTCCTCCGCCGAGCGCTGGTGGTCAGCACTGAGCTCGGCAAGATGTTTCAGCGGCTGGAGAAAGGACGCTGGCAGAGGGTTCACAGCACTGCCGTACGAGCCAACTGCCATGTTCGCTCACTGGTGCATGAGTACAGCGCCGCCAGAAGTACCCCACCTGAGATGCAGAAGGTAAAAGGGAGGTTTTGAGGAGGTTAAAAGCTTGATCCATTAGATCCATTTATATCAGTCCACTGATAGAGGCCTTGGTAGACTTCTCCAAGGATCTCAACCCTTCACAAGGTAAGAACCAGTACCGTCTGGTACTGGTTCTTACATCATCAATTACTAAATAACAAAATGGACAAAAAAAAAAATGCAAATCTGAGAGTGATCAGAACTTTGTTGACAAATAACTTCAAATCTTTTCAGGGTTTGATCTCAAAGATGGCTGGAAAAATCAGACTTGTGCAGGGGATGATGTTAAGTCAATGACAAGAAAGAAACAAATCAAAATGTATCTGTATAACCCCTGTGTCCTCAACACTCGTGAGGAAAAACTTTCCAAAAAACCCTCTCCTTACATGATAATATAAGAGTGTCACAAGTGAGGGATTCCTTACAGAAGTGCAAAAGATGTTGTGTGTAACTGAGCATATGAACAAAATTACAATATTTACATTATTCATGAGATTAGAAATGTCATCTTCCAGGGAGACCTGGCCAGGACAACATTTAAGTTTGAGAAAGGAATATACAACATTGGACACACACGTTAAACATTAATAAAAAGAAGTAGTATGAAGGCTAAAATAAGATGAGAATGAAGAAAGTTACCAACCATTTGTTCATATTAAAGCTCAAAAGAGGAACAAAATCAATAGTCTTGATGTCAGTCTGACACTAAGTTGTTTGACTGTTAACATGGGACATACCTGTATGTGATGATGACAAAGATATATTTGGATAAAAATTTACCTTAAAAAGAGACTATTCTTTTGAACACATTATTTTTTTAATCTGCAGTTTTAGATTAAGAAAAAAATAATCAAATGCATCAAAATGAACTCACATTTATCCACAACACACTTTTAAGTTGTCTACATATTCGTGCTTGTTTTGTTCATTGTCATTCAACAGTGGGAAATGTTCTGTAATGACCTCAGGCACGAAAACTGGTGGACTCAAATGCACAAGACAAGACTTGGATATAACAAAAAAGAGGTTTATTTTCCATCTCTAAAGGTGCATAACAAAAAGCGCTCACAAAGAGGATAACAAAAGAAAGTAGCAAAACAATACTCTAACAAAACTACGAGATATTCAAGAACACTAAACATGAATGAAGCTAAATCCTGGCTTGACAAAATCACACACTTGAAGCATGGGGACAGAACAAGACCAACTGGCACAGGACAAAGGGAGACGAGGACTATTTATACAAGAGGAAGTAGGAAACAGGTGAAACCAATCAGGGGCGGGGAAGACGATCACTAAGGCGGGAAATCACACAAAGGGAGGAAGTCAGGGTCTGAAATGAGAGGGAAAAGGTGAGTACCAAAATAAAACAGGAAGTGCACGACAAGACTAGACATGAGTGAAGTTTAACTTAACACAGAGTGCTCCCAAACACACAAGACTAGACATGAACTAACACAAACATGGTATACTTAAAACATAAACATGAATAAACTTAACATAACTGACGAGACATAACATGTTCTGCCATTCCTCCTCATTTGGGGTTGTTTCTTTTCTGTGTTTCTTTTGTTACAGTATGAAACATCTTTACTGGAGAAGTGCATGGAGCTGACTAATATTACAGAGAGGTAAAAACCTGAAAATAAAAAAAAACGTTAAAAGTGGATGGATGCACGGCAGGTTTCTAAATGTTAAAACCCACAGGTGCCTTCACACCGATGATGAATTCTTCCTTAAATCCATGAGAGAGGCCATTCATGAGATCCTCACTGATGTCAGTGACTCATTCAGCAACATGATCGACATGGCCTTAGCCAATGAGATCAGGGTAAGTAATCTGTCCACGCAACAAATGGCTCTAATAGACACAAGCCAATGCTTCACCATGGGGTTTATATTCTTAATATGAGCGTACGTACAGTAGTTTGTGCCACGTTATCACCTGCTGTTTGCAAAGTGAGGTTTGGCTTCTCCAGTGGAGTGAAGCCTCTGTGCTTGGTTTATTTTTGGGTTGCAGTCAGATTACATGTATGCGTGTGTATCCCAGCTCATCCAACATGAAACGGTCGAGTAGAAACACAAGCATGAGTTCAGCATTGTGTGGGCTGCAGTAATAAATGATTACATCACCTTTGTATGACTTGGACAATAAGGTAAAGGAGATTACTTTTTTATTATTTCAGTCACACGATGGATGATTGAATTTCATATCTTGGATGTTGTACAGCAGGTCAATGGCTATTTATTTGCACTCACTGTGTAATTATCATTATTTAAAGGTCTAATTTTTTACTCTTAAAATTAAATGTTTGAAGATTGCCTGACATATGAGTTAGCCAGCACATGCAGCTCACACAGTTGAGTGGAAAAACAACATCACTGATGAGACAGTGAGACTCTTGGCAAATAAACTCAACCTTTTAACCGACACCATGTGGAAAAACAATATCCAAATTATCTTACCTCATGGGATCAAATACTGAATGTGTTCACAGATTTCTTTCGTTCAGTGTGCAGAACTTTATCATTTGTAACACACATTACTTAGGGTGGGACATAACCCAAGGAAGAACCCATTAAATATTGCTGTGGATGCTGTGGCTATTTTTTTTTTCATTTTAACATTGTGAGACAGGGTGATTTTCAAGTGTGTTTCAATTCAGTGCAGATCCAAGTAATAATGTAAGAATGTAGTGAATTTAAATGTGGCTTTATAAGGGGCCTGTTGGGCCTTGGAGGATGAGTATGCACACTCCTGCGTTCCGTCTAGTTTCATATCTGGATTTTATGAAGTGTTAAACATTTGCCAATAAATATAACTTTTTATAACCATTTGTAGAAACGCACTGAATAAAAATCTTCTTGCAGGTCCTGATCAAACAGATTGAATCGTCGGACAGCGTTCACATCATCGGCAGTGCCATTAGCAACCTGCTGTCCCTCACGCAGGACGGACCTCAGCTCTGCAGCATCATTGCCAAGGTACTGTGAACATACTATTGGAATCTGTTCCTGTCTTGTCAGTGGTTAATACTGTGTTGCTTAGGGGTTTGATTTGAGTGGAAATTCATCTCACGAATGGGACCATGAACATTGAATCGTATCTCTTCATTGAAATGTGTGCCTTTGATTAATGCTCCTCCACTGACGCTTGTGATCGTGCTCAAACCTGTGAGGTCTGAGGTCCTGGCGTCAGCGATACGTCAGCAGCATCGTGCGTTTTATTCTTAGAGTCTTTGGCTGAGGTGACTTCATTTAATACTTGGTCTTGCTTCGATCTTTTTAGCTGCACCCCTGTTATGATCAGTTCCACTTCACCATCATCAGAACAGCAGCTATCTCTTTATACATGCCTCTAAAGAGCTACAGTACTGTGAGATAAGACGGAGCAGACAGCAAGTATCAGTTCTCCATTAGTTAGCTGCCCGCTTCCAGGATAATCTTGATAAGACTCTTCCTGATGTCACCCCCCCGCCCACACACACACCTCTTTGCCCCCAGATTGTCAGATCAATTCTGTCAGCTCCCATTAGGTAAGCACTGATCACAAATGCAGCTTGTTCAGGGGTCTTTACCGTTCAGTCCACTCCGACTTTACCTCTCTGTAGCTCCACTGGTTGCTGCTAATGAATACCCAATACAATACCCTGTTCACCTGCCGTCTGAATTAAATAGCTTCCATGCACCAGGCTGTCTGTCACACTGTCCCGTGCACATCATTTACAGTGGTGCGCATCATCTGGCTCTTATCCAAGCTATTCACTCATTATCATTTTCCGCAGCTTGCACGCACTTGTTTGAGTAACAGCAATTACTCGTTTAAATGCTTGGGTGGGGGACCGGATATTTCTGCCTCCTCTACCTCTTTAGCAGTGTTGCTGGTTACAGACAGTGTTCAGTGAGTGAGTAGTCTGCGGGTGTGGAGAGGAGAAGGGAGGTATCAATATGTGGTATTAAAGCAGACAAAATAATAATGAGAGATGAATCATTGTAAATATATCCAGACTGGAGTAGATTTGAAGTTTTATTATGTTGATTTCATTCTGCCGGAGGCACCAGATGGGTGGTCTTTAACAACATTAAACAGCATCCTGGCTACATCACAGTATAAGGAAGAGGCAACTCCTTAGGAAAAATGAGTCTTGTGTAATACTTATGTAACAATTTTCAATTTACAGCGAGCTTACATGACGACAATTGCATCAATGATTTTTGCTCACTTTACTTTTTTTATTTGTTGCAAATACATTAACATGTATGATAGGCTTGTTATAATGTGGCACCCTGGGTTTAGTGCAGAATATATACAGTATATATATATATATATATATATATATCAATAAACTTTGATTTGATTTATATGACAATTAAAGAATTGAAGGCATCAGAAAAGACCTTATAAACAACATCAGCATCATTTATTCAACAAATTCATTAGACACACAACAGTTGTCTTATTACACATTTGGCACATGTGTAAAAGTCAGATATTGAACATTTATTCATCATACAGCTTTGCAAGCATTACAGTTTCATTATTTGTGGATTTGTGTAATCTTCCATCTCTAATACTTCATAATTTCAAAACATTTAGTGTTTTATTCTAATGTTCCTCATATTTGATAAACACAACTGACAGCTTGTCGAACTGAGTAATAACACAATTGTGAAGGATTTGTCACAACTGAATGAACCACAGCCATCTGGTAAACAGAGCAGAGCAGAAATTACTGTCATAGAATCATTTTCACCTGATCTGCATGTTTCTGGACTCTATAACAAAAACACCAACAGACACGTGCAAAGTACCCACAGAACAATGAAACGACAATGTTATGAGCTGACAGTCTTTAATACGAGCAATACACTTCTTCATAAATCCAATGGAATATGAGGAGAACAACTGTGTCAGGATGTAGAAGTGAGTTTGAGTGTTAACCTACTGTCATGATGGATACTGATCTAAATGTGTTCATGGCAGACTCCTCATGTGTGTGTCCTTGCTGTGTGTCACTTTAGATTGCAGGGTGTGGGACAGTGTGATGTGGCCGTAACTCAGGCCTACAGTTAATCTGTCATTACAACTACGTGGGTAGAGAGGGAAGAGGTATTTAGAAATATAACAAAAGAAGAGCAATGAACCCACGTTTTGGGGCAAGCATTATGGTTTCGCTACAGACAGTATTTTCCATCCACAGCTCTTTTGTTTTCAAATCAAGACTTAAACTGCCTGCATCCTCTCATAGCTCAAGAAACTGCTGGCTTTGTGTGAGCAGAACAGAGTTCAATTCCAAAAATGATGAGATGGAAACAGATTACACGCTGTGTAGGCCTTTACATGCAAGCCCACGGATAGAGAAGCATTTATAGATGAGTAGTCAAGTTTCAAATGATGATGTTAGTGCAGCAAGTAACAAAATGCGTGAGTGTGAGAGTAAATGTGCTCTGTGGGCTTCGTTCAAGGGATGAGTATGAAGTCAGTGGAAACAATAGACTGCAAGTTGTTAGACGGGGAAGGGAAAGCCCAACGACAAGTCCAACGATCTGTGAAAAGGAAACACACGAGAAAGTCAGGTTGTCTGGTTGTGTCAGGCTTTTATTTCCTCCAGGTCCATATTTATTTTAGGAAGATTATAAAGATAGTCTTGGTGTGAAAACATTTTCACATTGTGTCTCATTTATTGATGGTTTACGTCATGTAAAATTTTATTGATCTGTTGTATGTAGTGGTGTCCCATATAGTTTATGCTGTTGTAGCTAAATTATCCAATCAGACCACTGCAGAAATGAGGTAGATCAAACACTATGATGAGGTTTTGCCTGTTCAGAAGGAGACCAAACAGGCAGACTGGGAACAACAATACATTTAGCTAAACATCAAGCTTACATCAACAAGGTGCTCAAAATGACAGTGTTAACATGTGACTGCAGGTATTACATATGTCATGTTCTAAATTGTCTATGTTGTAAGCATACTAACATTAGTATTACACATACTGTAGCACAACTGACTGGAATATCTCCAGACATCTTTCTGAAAGTTGCCAAAGGCCCTGTATGCGAGAACACAAGTGTCCGAGTTATTTGATGTGGACATTTTCCAAAACAGCCCCCCAGCTTAATATCCAATGATGTCTCCAACAGGTGATGCAAAACTCAAAAAAACAAAACAAAAAGAAAACAAATGCCTTAAATGTTGAAGATGCCAATGAAGATGTCAACTTGGAAAAACAACGAGATTTAACAGGATTGACTAACTTTTGGTGATGAGGACTGACGCCAGTGTTGATGTGCCTCAAAATGCCAGAATATTCTGGACATGTTTCTGCTGTGGACCCATCTGACTCTCTCCTGCTGCATTCTTCATGTTTAAAACCTCCAGAAAATGTCTCACATATTGGGTATGGATGTGTGTGAAAATAGTTTATTTTTGCAGCTACGTTTTTTTTTGTCCTAAACCAAAGTATATTGGCATTAGATGAAAAGTCAACATCCCTAAAATTATTACAACTCATCCTATGAGAAACAAGAATGTGTCTACCACATTTCATGGCAATCCATCCAACAGCTGTCCACAGTATTTCACTCCAAACCACAAATGTGAACCTCATGGTGATGGTCAGGGGAAAGTGTGAAGAAATCATGCTCCGTGCACTGTATGGACATCTGAACCAAAGTTCATGGTAGTCCATCCCAGAGTTGACAAAATGTTTGGAAACTAATCCATAAAATATTACATTGTCAAAAGCTTGAAAGAGACAATGATAAGGTTTTCCAATTTATTGAATTAGTATTATGACCATGATGGAAGGATATAATGATTAATTTAAGATTCCTTAAATTAGACAAATGCAAAGGTGTCAAGTTTGACCTTGTGTTTACTGTCGTGTGTATTTCTGGAAATCTCTTATATCTGGGAGCAGTTTGTAATTATTATTTTTTTGTTAAAGTATTAATGCTCATTTTGAACCGAAGGACAAAATCTCAAAAGTGTATCAGATCAGTCTGAGCTTCTCCACTGACTCACTCTTACTTTTGAAAGCAAATGCAACATTTGCGTCACATGAAAACATCAGGATCAACAGCCTCTTCGTCAATCTCTCTCCGGAGGTTCACTGAAAAGTGTCTGTCTGTGTTGGCAGTTCTTCCTGGTATGCCGGGCCAATATTGTGTAGGCAGTGAACAGGGAGGCGCGGTCAGGCTAGAGAGCACAATGATTAGCCACTCCAAGCCCGGGCAGCATGGCCTTCGCAGAGCATGAGACATACCAGCCCAGTATAATGGCCTTATTAGGATAATGGTGGTAGTTACCGGCTTCATCTTCTTCCTGGTAATTCTGCACAGTGAATAGATTTCAATACCTGCAAGTGTTTTTTTGTCAGAGGGATGCTTTGGTGTAGACATGGAGCCAATACAAGAGCTATTTTTGTTTGTTTACACCAGCATAATCCAACAGAAAATAGAAAATGCTCAGCTATTATGGCTAGCAAATCATCTTTTTTCCTGCTCAATGTTTTCCATTCATGAAATGTGTATATTTTGGCCGTTTTTATCCGTCATGATAAATTGCTTGAGCCATTTGATAGGCTCTGGGGTTGGCAGGCTCGCTGCGTAAAGCCGGCCAAATCCATCGGTCATTTCGGGTCTCCTGGGCTCTTTAAAACCAGCATGCTGCTATTGGCTTAGATCTGTGGGACCTGATGAATGTCACGACACAGTCTAGCATGGAACAATTTGATCCATCATTTTGTACAATCACGTGTGCCTCAAGACAAGGGCTGATTATGATGTGGATCATTTGGTGAAATGAATCCTAATGCCAGGCCCCTGAAAGTTGTAGTCTAAATGGAAGTTGTTTTTAAAACTTGTGAAATGATTTCCATAATTCAATTATAATTAGTATTTGCAAAAGTATATTTTTTGTTAAAAAAATAAAAATGGAAACCACGCAAATGAGTAAATATTTCATCAACCTGGAGATT